GGGAGGGGTTGTTTTGAGGCGTATAAGCTAAAAATAGTGTACTTACGTATGAATAACTATACAAAATTTCTATTTTTCCGAAGAAAACATGAACGAAAACCCGAAAAAACAAATTATCATGCTAATGACGTCGTTTAGGAAAGAAGCTGTGCAAAACGACAGCGTAGAATGTGCAACTGCAAACAAAAACCGACAGACAAAAGGTGGGGTGATACAAGTAACTGAAAAACAAAAAAAGGAAGAAAAGGATGCTGAAACTGCTGGCACTGAGGGGGTGGTGTGGTGGGTCTCTTGTCTCTGACAAAAGATGAGTGAAAATCGTGTCCTCTGAACATCAAAGTAAGAAGTAAAAAAAAGGCAAAAAACTGAAACTTCATCCAGATTATAAACCTTCTCTTGCATATCCATACTTCACTGTTTTCAGATCTTTTCTCTGGCCTTACTGTAAGTGTTCACACATAATTGTTTATTTTAATGAACATGTTTCGACTTTGAAGTGCTTGGTAATTTTATTGTTATTTATTAAAAAAGATTGCTTGTGGTGTTCTTGTCTTTTCCTACCTTTTTGCTATTTTCCATGTTGATGTTGGGGGTGGAGTTAAAAATCTTAGCTTTTTTTGTTGTATGTTTATGCTATCTGCTGATGATGATTTTGATGATTATGTAAGGATTTTAGGAGTCAAGATAAAAAGACATGCTTGTGTTTCTGTCTCTTTTCGTCTTCTTGAGCCGAGGTCTATCGTAAACAACCTCTCTACCCCTCTCTCCCCAGATCCCACTTGTGGGATTTGATTTTTTTGTTGCTTGTGGTTCTTTATTATGCAAAGCTTAATTCAAGTTCTTTGTGAGAGTGGGAAATATGTGGCTTCTTGTTAACTCCTGTTATTTTTCTTTCATATCTACTATGAATTTTTTTAATGGGGATGTGTAAAGTTCTCTCTTTTGGGGGTATTTGCTATTAGTAAGACTAGTAAGTTGGTTCCCAGGGGGAGATTCCCTGGAGTAGGACTTGGAATAAGTAACTAGTGGTTGAAATTCTTTTCAAAAGGGAAAGAAAAAATATTCTTCCAGAAGATTCATGCGCTTATTTCTGAAATTAAAAAGGGATTTTGGGGTAAATTTGCATTCTTTGGTCAAACATCGTGAATAGTACTTCGATTTTTATGTTGCATTATGATGTTACACAGCCTTCACCTTGAAGTAGGGTGGTTGCAATTCTGTTTTGAGAATCTGTCAGCGTGAGAGGGGGGTTCTGCTTGCTTTAAAACCCAGTCTGTTTTATAGTATTTGGTGGTAGATTTAGACTGTTTGTAGTGGTGAGGTCGCCTAGTTAATCAACAATTACAACTACGCCTCTGTCTCAAACAAGGTGGGCGACCGTATGAATCCTCACTGACCATGTTCCTCCATTTAAAATCATCTCAAGCCAACATTATTCCAAATAAGGTCGCGTAATAATGCGTGCATCGATTTACCATTGTATCATTATGTATGGCTATCTTTCGGCAACTATTTTCATTATTACTTCTCCGTTCAAAATATGATGTGTAACACAAATAGGAATACAACAGGCATTAGCTTCTTCATTCACCTGATTTTGTTGATGAACTAATTTGTACATATTAATCATCTGGAAAACTTCAGATAATGAGTATCTTCTTGTGTTTCCTTCCGTGACCTTTTACCAAAAATACTTCCTTGGCGTAAAAGATGAACAGATTAGATCATTGCAAGAGGAGATTGCCGATAGTTGTGTTCCTGGAAATGTTTTTATGTTATACAAAACTTCGAGCTTTCTCATGATTGACTTTGGTAGTAATTTCCTTTCACTTAAGTCCTCAGCCTGATGCGTGAAACTTGATGCCCTCAGTGTCTGATAGATTTTGCTCTGTGACAGAAAAATGTGCAGAAGAATGGGTCAGTAATGGCTGTGGCAGAAGCAAGAACCGCTTGGCAAAGAGCAGCTAATCGATGTTTGGTCCAAGAAGATGCCAAACGAGCTCCGAAGTTGGCGTGCTGCTCATCAGCATCACCCTCAGCGAAACAGGTTGATACTGGGCCTGCAAATGGTGCTGATGCACAAAATCCTTCTAGCACATGTTTCCTGCCCTTTAACAGGAACTCTTCATATTGTGATTTATCCCCTAATACAAGATGGTGGCTGCATCTTCAACCTAATTATGGGTATCAAAGAGGCTTAGTGAGTGAAACTGTAGATTCTCTGCAAGCGGAGATGGAAAGTATTGGACCAGTTTTAGATTCAACCCCTAAAAATAGCAAGTTCACTGATCAGAGTGAAGCAGATGATGATTACGTGGATGAAGTCACAGTTGGTGGATCTCTAGATTATCAGGTTAAAAGATCTGCAAGCCATGTAAATAGTGACTTGGGAGTTGGACACAAAGAACTAATAGATGTGTTCACTGACATTTCCAAGGATAGCCTTAACCTTGAGGACGGAAGGTATCCTTATGAAGCAAGTAAGAAAGATGTAGTTGATTTCACAGAGTGTAAACAGGTTGATGAGCTTTCGTTTGATACGGAGTATCCTTGGATTGGTGTTGAGAAATCTGAGCCATGGTGGCGAACTGCAGACAGAGAGGAACTTGCTTTATTGGTTGCACAGAGATCACATGATTTTATTGAGAACTGTGATCTTCCCCAGCCACAGAACAATTTTGTTAAACAGGATCATGATGTGGATGTTGATACTAAGATTTCTGCTTCTTCTGTGAGTCCCAAATCCGGAGATACATCTTGGCACAGTGAGAACATTCATCAACGGGGCAGTGTTTCTTTTAAACGTCCATCTCAATTAGAAGCTGAAGGGCACTCACAGCTCCATGCTTGCAAGTCATCAAGGTATTGTATATTAGCTTTCCTCACTATTTAATGTATTGTATATCATTCTTATAATAGTGGGAAAAAGCTCTACTGCCCATACGTACATAATTCAATACAACTTATATACATGAGGTTGAGTTTTGACGTGATGTCCATATATGTGTCTCTAGCATTCTTCTCGGCTTAGGACTTTATTAGATTTCGTTGTGCATATGCCTATCTTGACAGTGATACTTCAAGGCAGGTTTTCTATTGCACTGGCTTGACAAACTTGCCCTTTTTTTTTCCAAGGATCAATTGCACAATTTAGATTATGGAAATGGGTTGTACCTATACGGTTTTGTAGTTTTTTTAAATCTTGATTGCTTGGTCCTTTTGGTGAAAACTACAGTCATTTAGAGAAATTGGGAATCAATTTTCTTTTCATCGTTCATTGAGCTGAGGGTCTACCGGAAATAGCCTCTCTACCTCCCATGGTAGGGGTAAGGTCTACATACACACTACCCCCAGACCCCACTTGTGGGATTTCACTGGAATTTCACTCTACTTCCCATAGTAGTAGTATCATGTATTCTCACCTTAAGCCTTTTGGTGCTGATGAACCAGCCAGAACATATAATTATTGATATTATGTTTGCTTCAAGAGGAAGAAATCCCTGAGATGGGATCTCAATGTTTGAAAACCCTAGAAAAAGATGATACATTTATTTGATTTAAAGAAGTATTACAATTTTTTATGCTGGCATGGGTGATTGTCTCACACATCAAACGCAATGTAACACGAGAACTGTGACTCCATTTTGCATTGTTCTTTTGATAAGATTGACACTTCACTCTAGATTTTGCTGCTAATTAGATGTTCATTCTTTCAAGGATAGTTTATTGATTTATTATGTTGTTACTTAGCTGGCAATCTGGTGCATGCAACTTGTTAGAGTTTTACGTTATGGGACCAAGTGATCAATAGGAGATAGCAGTGACTAGAAACAATTAAAAAAAAAAATAGAGATAGGAGTGTCATTTACTCCTCTTAAGTGCAGGTGCGTATACTCTGATAGCCCGCTTTTCCTTCTTTTTTTTTATATATTATTTCTGGGTTGATTTTCAAATAGTATTACTTTTAGTGTGTAAATTCAGCATGTTTGATGTTCTTAAAAAGATATTTTTATTTATACATAGTTTGAGGAACAGTGACACCAGTAGCCAAAAGATTGTGCCTGAAATGAACACATCTAGTGATGATGAAAGCAAGGCCCAACTACTAGAAGCACTTCGTCATTCTCAAACACGTGCAAGGGAAGCTGAAAATGCAGCAAAGCAAGCCTTTGCAGAGAAGGAGCACGTCGTGCAGCTGGTCTTTAGACAAGCATCACAACTTTTTGCCTATAAGCAATGGTTCCAGCTACTGCAATTAGAGAACCTGTACTTCCAGATTAAAAACAACAGAAACCAACCAATATCGGCCATATTACCGGTAATGCTGCCATGGGTACCCCAGAAAACTAAGAGACCGCGGAAGAAATATGCTAGGGTCAAACGAGCCAAACGAGCCCGTTCCAAGTATGACTTGAGCAGATATGCAGTTGTTTTTGCTCTAGGTTTGGGTCTTGTTGGTGCAGGTTTCCTTCTTGGCTGGACGGTCGGGTGGATGTTACCGACATTTTGAGCTGTGTAGATTGTATCCAATTTTCCTGTTAATACTAGTTTTGTGAAGATTGGTTTACGGGGGAATTAACTTGGTGTTTGTGTCTATGTTGGTTGTATGATGATGACGATCATTTCTCCAATTACTTTGGTCTCAGCTTTTAGTACTTGAAATTGAAACGAAATTCTGAGCTTTCCCTCAGCTTGTACTTGTATATATCTTAGGCATTATGTTTTTCGTTACCAAAATCATGGTTTCTATAGACTAGTTTTGTATTGTCTTGGTCAAAGAATGCTTGGAAATGACTACTGCGCTCTGTATTTTCTTATTTTCCTTTATACATATTAGTAAAATACTCAATGTTCTATTACCAGATTAGTTAGATTGCATTTCATTGAATTTGGGGGGAAACTGAATCATAGGCATAATAACTAGTGTATTCTAGTCACTATGAGGAAGTAAGGAGATGGAGCAATGACATTGACAAATTAAGTACTCTTGTCCAAAAAGAATTAAACTATTGCTCATTGAGAAATTAACACTTTGTTCTTTGACTATGATTTCTTCAAACTTCTTAAATAAGTTTGAATTTTTTGCTTTATTTTCTATGGGTTTTATTATATTAGACTTTAAAGGTATCTTAAACGATTATATAACCTAAATGATAGTCTACTCGACATATCTCTGAATTTGTCTTTGTTGACGTTCTCTCTCTCTCCCTCTCTCTCGCGCGCGCTCTCTCTCTCCTTTTGACAAATTCCGCTAATGAAAACCTTCCGAGCCAAAGGCGGATCCAGGATTTAAACCTTATGGGTTCAGCCTTTAAAGATTTTAGTATTGAATCCATTATATTTTTAAAGTTATAGTTCATATCTATTATTTTTGCAATTTTAATAAAAATTTTACATATAAATTTTATCCCGCGTCAAAAGTTATGAATTCAATTAAACCTGTGGGTAATACGCTAGGTCCGCCCCTGCTCTGAGCCTTGACATCCTTTTTGGAAAGGAGTCGTCGTATATTTTTGACTTGAAATGTTACATGTTAATATTGATATATTTCAAACTAATATACCGTACACCTAAGAATATTATCACTACAATATCCCTTTCAGTTTGTGACCATGTATATTTATTGCTTGTGTAATTTTTTCTATTTAGTTTAAATGTATTTCGACAACTATGATGTTTCTCGGTTGAGTTTTCTTTTTAAATATAATAATTTAGTTTATTACTTGTGTCATATTAGAAAGTTTGTTAAATTTAAAGGGCGCTAATTATTTGTATTTGTATTTATTATAATGTTTTTGTATCAATTATAAAGGATTGCTAATAATTAGTATAGTTTAGTTCTAGTTTCTTAAACGTTAAAACTATTAATATCCTGTTTGGCCAACCTTCTAAAATCAGCTTATTTTGAGAAGTGTTTTTTTCAAAAGTACTTTTCAAAAAAGTGTTTTTGGTGAGAAGCAGTCCGTGTTTGGCTAATTAATTTGAAAAACATCTTTGAGCAGTAATTAGTATTTAGCCAAGCTTTTAAAAACTGCTTCTAAGTGTATTTTTCTCAAAAGTGCTTCTCAGACTAGTGCTTTTGGAGAAAAGCTATATTTTTTTGCTTCTCCAAAACTGCTTCTGCTTCTCCGTAAAAGCACTTTTTTCCTTCTACCGGCCAAACACCTCAATTGTTAAAAAAAAAAAAACACCTTTGGCCCCCCCAAAAAAGCTTGGCCGAACAGCCTATAAATTTCTTTATTCTTGGTTACTAAAGAACTTCTATGAATTGCTATAGCTTTCATAACTTTGATTTCCCTAAATGTGATATTTCTTCTATACCAAATTTAACTTTTTTTGGAAGCTAGAAAACATTTTTGTAGACGTATCACGATTTGTTACTTTGAGGTGTCTGTTATCTGAAGAAAAAAGTACTGTAGCAAATAAACATTAACTTTATGTGCCTTCTAGTACACCGGTGAGCCTGGGGCTAGGGGCGTCAATGGTTCGATTCCATCAATTATTTTGTAAATTTTGTACCATATTAATTTTTCGGTTATTCTACTATTTATAATCAAAATTAGACTTTTCGAAACCGTCCCGACCATATCACTTTCTCTTCGGTATAGGTATGGTTCGGTTAATTTTTGTTTTTTTTTTAAATGTCATGTAAAAGTCACTAGTAGAAGTAGAATGCAGGAACATACGTACTTTTATAGAAAGCAAAACCCTCTAGACATTTTTACATTTTAAAGGGTGATGAATTAAGAAGATATGAAAGATGGCTAAAGTATAGATCCATCAATATTCTACAGTAGCGTAAAAACACTAAGCAAATTAATACAAAAAATATAAATCACACGAGTGGAAAGATATTAACCAAGTTGGGACTGAGACTTAAGAATAAAGTTTATAGAAGATTAAATATTTAAAAAGATAAATCGAAATCAAACAAAAGGAAACATATTACATTGTAATTCGCTACTCATAATCGCTACAACACATTGTGTCTTGCTAGTGAATATGCTGGAAATAATTTAGTTTCAATAGGAGTAGCAATAGGTTTGGGAATTAGGATTTTGAATTTAATTACTTGTTGGTGTGTAACTGTTTTCATAATTCCAAGACCCAAGGAAAATTTAATGCATTATTGTTTTTAAACTTAATATATAAATATAGTTTTAACATGTAAATTTATTCGGTACGATTCGGTATTTTTCCGGTTTGTTTTCATAAAATAAAAAATCTACCATAATTATCGGTACGATTATAGATTTACATAAAAACCTACGGTTTTATTAAAAGAAACCTAAAATCGGTTCGGTAAGATACGATTCGGTCGGTTTAATCGATTTTTAAATATCCATTGACACCCCTACTGGGCTACTCATTCTCCAACTGAACCTCCTTTGCAAAATTTTGCTTATGCCATTTTTTCCTAAACAAAATTCAATAATGTTTTCCATTCAACTTAGTAGGTGTTTGGACATAAGAATTGTAAAATTTCAAAAAATGGTGAAATTTTATTTCAAGAGAAAATGGTATTTGAAATTTAGAGTTGTGTTTGGACATAAATTTCAGTTTGGGTTGTTTTTGAAGTTCTGTGAGTGATTTGAGTGAAAATTTTGAAAAATAGCTTTTTGGAGTTTTTTCAATTTTTTAAAATTTCCAAAATGCATCTTCAAGTGAAAATTAAAAATTTTATGAACAAACGCTGATTTAAAAAAAAAGTGAATTTTTTTTGGAAAAAGGAATTTTTTTTTATGTCCAAACGGGCTCTTAGAATAACATGAAAATAACTTTGAAATAAACGTTGGACAAGTACATGGGCCAAGCATCAACATTATAGGCCGGGTCGCCTCAAAATAACCGACCCACTGAACTCGCAGTTGTTAACACAGCAGCCAACATTTTGAGACTTTTCTGGTGATCGGAAAATCTACGGGAAGAAGAAGAAAAGAAGATGGCGGTAATGGCGAAGTTGAGAATGTTCGTGGTACAGGAACCGGTCGTCGCTGCTTCTTGTCTCATCGCTGGCTTTGGTAAATACTCTACTTACCCCTTCGTAGACGCTATCGTTGAATCTAGGATTTTAATTTAGTGGATGAAAAATACTAGTGATTACTAACTCCTGTAAATTTATTTGATTTTTGATTCAGTAATCCTCACTTTGGGTATTGTCATTTTTCATTTGGGCAATAAACTGTTTTTCTTTAATTCAAGTGAGGCTCCAGGTAGCTCTTCATAGGTTATAATCCCTGCAACCACGGGAAAAAGTAGCTCTTCATAACATAAATAGTGGACCTTTAAGGTAGTTATTAGTGTCGGTAGGTAGAGGATCTCTTAACATTTTCAGAGGAGTAGAAAATTGTGATTAATCGGATTATGTACCTTCCCATCTTTATCAAGACAAGAACACAGGTTTTGCCCCAGGGTTTTGGTCTAGTGGTAAGTGCGTGGTGGATTATGTGTAGATTAGTCGTGCGTCACGGGTTCAAACCATGTGTATACGGTCGAAATCAGGTATGCCCGATTTCCCGGCTCGAGGGGCCGTCTTAATCCCGAGTTCATGCGAGGTCGAGTTCGAGCTCGATGGACCAGGCTCGAGTTCGAAGACAGAGCAAAATGCCCGAGGATCGAAGCACGATGACTATCGAAGCCGAGTATGCTCAACCCCAAAATAATGCCGTTATGGATTTGTAACAGAATGCGCAAGATTCCTGCCACGTTCCTAAGATCGTGGCGTAAATCCCGGAACAGATTTGTACGAATCCGTACTAGGCGGTTAGACAGCTGTCCCAATAAGATTCTATACTGTAAATGGAAATGTACCTTATTTAGGGTTCCCCTATTATATAAAGGGGACCCCAATCATTTGTAAACATCATCTAATCATTGGCAAAGAATATACTCTCTTACTTTCTCGCTCATTATTCATCAGAACTGTCCTTAGCTATATTTTTCTTTCTTTATTGTTCTTAATCCATCTCGAGGTCGATACTGCCTAGTAACACCGGTTTGATTTACTCATTTCTTTCATTTATACGTTATACTTCTTGATTACTAATAGGTATTGAACTAAATCACATATCTTTAAAACCACAAATCAAATCTAATTGTTACTCGTATTTTCGAGGTAAACTCCATGTTGCATAGAAAAGTTTGGTATTTTAAGTGGAGAAGGTTAGAGGGGCGAGCCCGTTATCCGTGGAGTTTCGAACCACGTGTCACTTGTCCTTGGGAGTTTCTTCGCTGTAAAAAAAAAAGTCTTGTGATTAAGTAGGCATACTAGGATATGACTCTGAGACACTTTTTAGGCTGCTCCTCATTTTTTGAGCTCCAAGTATCAAGTCGTCGTTGGTAAGTGAATATGTTTATTTATCAGTTGAGCTGTAGGTTTTTGTTAGCAATGGGTCAGTTAGAACTAGTAGTGGAAGATGATTTGCCTCTCAATTTAACTATAATTGAAAGACTATAAAAGGTTTGGCGTCACTCTTATTTTGGTAGTAGGGAATAAAAAAGGGCAGCCCGGTGCACTAAGCTCCCGCTATGCGCAGAGTCACGACCCATTTTCTGAACAAGCCGGGACCGGCACTCGATCACTAAACATGACCGAGCGAACCATCTCTGCTTATCAAATCTATTATAACTCCAAACTTTATATGCAACAAGGCAATACTCTAACCAAATACTTTTGTTTAATTTAAATATTTAAATAAATCAACTCCAAAACTTTATTCATAGTAACCAATGAAATACTGCTAAGTTATTATCAAAACATCTGAATCTTAACCCAACGACTATGTCTATGAAGCCTCTACTGATAAACTGACGCACTGTTCAGGACATGAGATTTCCTGGCCAGTTCTCTAAGTAACAA